CGTGTAGGGCAATGACTTTGTTTCCTCTTTTACACTGGGTTACTTTAAGTTTTAGGCTTATTAGTTAGAAAACACTCTCCTGATATCAATATAAGAAAATATTAAGGAATTGCTATTAAATGGTGGTGGTGTTTGCTCTGAGTTGTTTCACTAATAGGGCGTCTTGCTTCTTCAAGAATGATGTCATAATGTAGTTAAAAACTTTTGAGATCTGCAGCTTATTTTATGTTGACTTTGTTTATTTCCTTCCAGTTGGTTAAGGAGTTTGACGTGATCCACACACCCAACCAGGTTGGTGGTCTCTGGCACTTACATTACCTGTGAACAAGGCCCTCCTGTTGCAGGGACTGTAACTCCCCTCCTGCAGTGGATTGGCTTTTTTGGCTTGCTTTCTGCTTTTGTGTAATGACCAACTGGAGATACTAAGGCTATAGGCTTAAGACCCTGCTGTTACTTTTTAACTCTAGTTTGTGGGCTGGGTGCTTCTGCAGTGTCTTCGTCTTGCCTATAGACGTTGATACAACTTTTATTGGAATGGGTTAAATATATCTGTCTTGATAAATGAATATATTTACAGGAAATTCCACTATCCTGGCCTTTCCTACTCTTCTCTTCCACATTCCTCTTGAAGTATTCTAGAATACTTAATTTCTGCATTTCATTGCAGCACTGTTCTTTAGGTGTGGCACAGAGCCTTTTAAAAAAAAAAGTCTGTTAGGGAAGTACTGAGGAGATTCTTGGTTAATGTGTATGAATTTGTAGGGCTAGGTTGCACAACAATTCTTTTTATCAACAGGTAGTTTGTGACTGGGAAAAGATAAATGGAACTTAATTTGTGCTACAGACAGGTCTTTTCTGTAACACTTCAGTCATGTCCCTCAGTAAGAATTGATGGCTATGCGCTAGTAGAATAGCATAAACCCACATGCAGGGATCTCTTTAAGAGTGGAAAAAGAGATGTACTTGTAACCTTGTGCGATAATCACGTGCAAACATGGTCTGTTTGTCTATAATGCCTCTTCAGATAACTTTGATTCAAAAGGTAGCATAGGAGACTTTCTGGTCCTTGGAATAAGAAAAAATGTTGCTTATCATGGGGGGAAAAAAGTTGCTCTGGTAGTAATTTGTTCAGTACTAGACTGCTTACTCCACTGTAGTGTGTGTACCTCTTTGAAACCTGGTATTTCCCTATTGAATAGGGTTCAGGTTAAAGTAGTTTTAAGAAGGAAGAATTCCCACCCTTGTTTGTCTGGGGTGCAGGGAGTCCCCCTGTCTGCAGCTGCCCTGTGCAAGCGCCGCCCAGTCTGTCTGCACCGGGACAGAGGCTTAACCTTGTTGCTGGGCCCCAGCGCGTGCCCACAGTTGAGCGGTGCTAACATCTCGCACTGCCCAGCTCAGCTGTGTGCTGGGCCGTGTTTGCCTGGCGAATGGAAGGACTTGGTAATGTGTGAAGAATTAGAAATGTAGTAGGGCTTGATGCCACTGAAGGTAATAACTTTCTGATGTTTCTCTTTCAGTCAAGTGCTTCTGCTCCTGATGTAGATGACCCAGAGGCTTTCCCAGCTCTGTCCTAAACTGGATGTCATAAGCCAACCCTGCCCTCGTTGGGCCTTCCTCTCCGAGGCTTGCATGCTTAAGGATCCTAAACAACTAAGAAATTTAAAAAAAAAAAGAGACTGTCATTCATACCATTCACACCTAAAGACTGAATTTTATCTGTTTTGAAAATGAACTTCTCTCGCTACACAGAAGCAACAATATGGTAGTCAGTTTTGTATTTAGAAATGTAATGGTAGCAGGGATGTTTTCATAATTTTTTCAGAGATTATGCATTCTTCATGGATACTTTTTTGTATTGCTGCTTGAAAATATGCGTTTCCAAACTTGAAATATAGGTGTGAACAGTGTGTACCAGTTGAAAGCTTTCACTTCATTTGTGTTTTTTTTAATTCAGGATTTTAGAGATTTTCCTCAAACTACAAACTGGGTTTTAATTATTGCACACTATTTCCGTTTCCTTAATTCCCGTTTAGCAGATTTTTTTTATCAGCCCGTGGTCTTTTGGAATATGTGAAATTTTAATTGGGCAGACTGTTAGTGCTGTGTGGAATACTAACTCCTGGAGTACTTTAGTTTTAATGCTTAATTTCAGACTTGGAAAAACAGTCATTTTTCATCTATGTTTGGTAGTCTGTTTACGCAAAATCTTTATACAAAATTGATACCAGATACTTGAAAAAGATTCAAAGCATATTGGTTTATAGTTAAATACCTGTGTATTGATCCAGCAATGACGTGTGGATAATTGGTCTAAACAGTTTTTTTAAATTAATGTATTACACCTTTCACTCACCCTATTTACCTTTATTCCCTCCTCCTCCTCCCTTCAACAGAACAAGATGCTTTGCTGGCCAAAAAAAAAAAAAAAATGTTTTTAAATTATCTATGCTTTTTCTTTGAGAGGGTACCCTGTAGATTGGAGCAACCTTTCCTGTTGCTGGAGCTGGGAGGTGGGGGAAGGTGGTAGCTGTTGCTCTGGTAGTCTGTCTGGACTTCGGCTGGGACGTGGAATTTAGCAGCACAGTCTGTTGACATGAGTACATCAGTACCTGATGTATTCGCAGCACTGCTGCGACAGTGGCAGGTCTTCTGAAGAAGAAACCAGAGGCCTTGGCTGGGCCTGGCAGGAGGGAGTTTTGCCTTGCCTTGCCTTCAGACAGGGACATTGCAATCTGTGCACGATACAAGAAAAAGATGCAAAACAAAACCCCAACACTTAACCTCTCTGTCAAAATTTTGCTCTGGATTTGTGCAGTGTTTGAGATCTAAGCGTTAGCTGACGAATGTTTTTCAGAGTGCGATTGTAAGAAACCCTTTCTACCCCTGTAGAAATTTGCCGTAGGTTTAATTTAATCCCTGTGAACAGGATTATCACTTCAGTACACAAAAGGAGTTGAGAGAATGAAGAGGGTTTCTTAGGGTTTTTATCTGCAGCATTTGTTAGGAGACAAGAAACAGGTTTCTCATTTTATTTAATGTTTTACACTTTGGACAGCTTATAACATATTTGTAGTTTCTTAACTAGGTAGATAGAAAACAAAAGGTAACGCCCTATTTTTTTAAAAGCTGTACAGGACAGGCAAAAAGTATTGGAGACCTTTGAATATGAAATATCGAACTCCTTAGCTGTGGTGTTTAGCTGGCTTGCTTTATCTGAACTGTTTTCTACAAAAGTTTTTGTTGTAAACCACTGTTAATATCATTGGATTAGACTTTTTAGTGCACTCACCTATAGTTTAAAGTTCCAGGTTGTGAGAAGGAGGCAAGTTTTCAAACAGTGGATGGTAAAATCTCTTGGTTTGTTTCTCCTGACTCTAAGCAGATCTTACACAGGTGCTCAGTGGCGGGGCTGTTGGAGGTCCAGCACTGAGTTGTTCCTCTTCCCTCTCCCTTTGTGGTTTGGTAGAATGTGTTACAGTTTCAGCATTAGGGACACCTTGGATAATGCAGTTAAATGAACCCCTTGATATACAGAAACACACTTGCGGAAAAGCTTTCTCTGTAACATAAACCCTCCTCCCCGTATCCAAACTGTATATTTGCTGCTTCGGTTGCCATTCAGCCTTTTTTTCCAGATGACTTCTGGGCCAGCCAGCCAGTCGTTTGGGGCCCTGCTAGCCGGACTTGGTCAGAAGCATTCCCTTCTCCTGCTTTAGAGCATAGAGCAGTTTCCCGAATGGCATGTCGCATACAATTTTCAAGACAGCTTGTACTTACAATTGGTCCGTCTGCTGTTCTGATAGATGTAAATTTGCCTCTTTCAGTCCATTTGTGTCAAGAACTAAAACTGTGAACATAATCTCTTTAATATTGGTGGGTGTTAACTGAAATAAAGGTTTATTTTCATGCTCTTTTAAAAATGTCATGAAAACACATGGAGATGAAACCACTTACTAGATTCATAGCGTCTCATCTAGATTCTGCCCCAAGTGGTCCAGTCTGCCTGTGGCAATGGTGCCCAGGCATTTCCATTGCCAGGAATGGACTTTGCCTTGGGAAAATGTCTCACGAGTAGCTTATTTACGATTAATGAGCTTGCTCTTTAGTAACGTTTTCTGTCCTCTTGCTTGCTACTTTCGCTGTCACGCCAAATCCAGAGGACTAGACCTTTTAAAATCCGAACAATTTGAAAAGAATGGTCAGCAGAAAAAGTTGGAGAGAAACAGAGAGAACCACATGGTGCAAATTGGCTTTAGAATGTAATGATGGCAAGGCTTGAGCATGAAAGTTCATCTTACAGATTGAATGCAACTGATGCTGGGAAGAAACAGGACTGATTAATAAATGCAAGTGTTAGCTGTGTGGGAAAGGGCATGAATTCTTCTGAAACATCAGAAGTCAGTGTGACTATATGGTGTTTGCAGTTTGAGGAGTTGAGACCACTCTTACCTGTAATGACTCTTTGCCCATGGAGATTGGTTTGCATAGCCATGCCTCTTGTTTTAATAAATGCAGGACATACGCCTAAAGCTGACACTTCCAGCACTTGCTAACCTGCTTCTTTTCTAAAATCATTACAAGGACCATGTTAACTTCATTTTGTACTCCTGGTTTGCATTTGCCAGATAACAGTCTCCTGCCCAGGCTCAGGGTGTGTTTGAGCAAGTGCCGAGTGCCCTGATGCGGTGGTTGGCAAGTCCCCTGCTAGAAAAGCCAAATGTAGTATTCTGGGTGAGGGGGTGGTGTAACCTGACTGGGGGGAAAATGGTTCATTAGCCCTTACTGGGAGACTTTCAGGTAGGAGTTACAAAAGTTTGGTTGTTGTCCTACTAGTGATGCTATTTGTCTCTTGAAGTTGGAGTAGGACATTATGTGAAGCCCTACATGGCAATTTATCTAGAGACTTGAAGAGCAAGGAGAAAATCCACTCTAGTGTTCCGCTGTCCATATGTTGAAGTAGAAGATCAATATGCAGAAGTAGATGAATGACAAAATAGTGCATTTTTTGCCTTTGTTTTTTAAATACCTTTCTTTGGCAATAGGTGTCTTAATTTGGTTGTACACAGCTGACTTGAGGTACCGATTTGTCTGCGATGCCCAGCCAGAATCCTCTTGCCAAGGTGGTTGCCAGATAGGGTATGGAAAGCACGAAAATGGAGTTCTGTTGTCTTGGATGTCTGACCCAAGTCAGAGTAAAATGTTTGCATTCAAGTGACACCAAGCCAGTCTTCACAGGTGGGAGATGTCTGTGTACAAGGCTGGAGATCAAACCTTGTAACCAGCTGCTTGACCCAAAGAGCAAAATGGCAGAGCTGGTACTTTGCAAAAGATCCTGTGTGCTTTGTGTAGCTGATGGTGTGAGTGGCCTTGTGTGGACGTGGAGAATGGTGCTTCACTGCCTTGCCAGAGACTGGTCTGGGTGTAGTTTTTCTGCCTTACATATGTTATTTTCACAGGTGAAATACCTGATGATGAAAAAAAGGCAGTGCAAGAGGAGGACATAAAAAGTGAGAATAGCTTTGTTAGCCTAAGCTCTCACTAAGAAAGTGGCCGCGGGTTTGTTCCAAGCAACGAAGTGCGGTGGTGGCTGCCCCCGCTTTGCTGGGCTGTGGCCAGCTGTGTGGCTGGAACCCACGGGCTGGTCACTTATCCAGGGCTGATGCTTGCGGGGCTGCAGGGGTTAATGCACTTTGGCTCAAGTTGGAGGGCATGCAGAACTGCCCAGTTAGGTGTTTCTGACAGATGAGTTGGAACATGCTGTCACTTCATTCCCTGGAAGAGAGAAAGCAAGTAGGAGCTTACGGGGTTGTTGGGGTGTGTCTTCCATATTTCAGCAATGATTACAACTTCAAGATAAGAAAATAAACGTGAAGACTTGAGGTGTGCTACATGGTTGTCACCTGTGTGCAGTGTCTCAGCTCTGGGTAGTTGTACAGCTGTTGATGTGTCTTCCGTGTTGGCAGGGAGCGGTGAACCCCTTGGCTTGCTGGGGTGCACCGCAGGAGAGGAGGTGAGCGGGGCCGGCACTGGTGCTCGTGGGTGGACAGCTCAGTGTGAGCTGAGGCTGCTTCGGTTTGTGTCTGTTTGCTGCCCTAGGGTGTGAGCTTGTCCACAGTTACTGATAAGTATGCTTGAGCTGTTTGATCTTCACCCATGCAGTGCTGCTGCAAAGGTCATCATAACACTGAGTAAGAGGTGAAGGAGCTTTATTTTACTTGCACATTCTTTACTGGGCAGAGTGAAGGTAAATCAGATATGGTATTGGTTTTACTGCAGTCTTTCAGTTCAGCAATTTGAATTGGTACATGCCCAGCATGTCCAGTTGTGTTTGGGATTTGTACTTGACAAACTGCAGGATTTCTGTTGTCTTGTATGGAGAACGATGAAAAGACTTGCTTCTGTCCTTTCTCCTAAGAAAGCACCTGAAGGTCTGTCTGGCCCGGCGAGATTGTGGCACTTGCAGGGCAGCGATGCAGAGCAGAAGGGAAGCGTGTCGGGACAAGATGGTCATTGCTACTTACGTGCTTTTTTGTGCAGCAGTTCCTTTTAACAGTGGACCACTGTTTACCTTTGTCAGACTTCGATGAAGATGCTAAAAGGGGTGGCTGCTCTGCCGATCGCTTGTGGACTGCTGGTAAAAGCTGTTTTCACGTGGAAGTGCATCTTCCCCTGCTGTCTTGTCTCAGCACGTCCATGTCTGAGCTGTGACCTTGAGCATGGAGGTCCTGGGCCAGTTTGGAGGTGGCATTGAGGATGCAAACAAGTCCCAAGGTTGAAATCCTATCCCAAAATACAACTCAGAACTAAATTTCTGGTAACTACATGAGTAGGGCTGCATTGCAGAGCTGCTGCAAAGCCTCCTTGTATGTGGTTTTATTGGGAGCGTGCAGATCAAAAAATCCTGCCAGCTTTGACACTCCTATT